CAAAGGGGCACGCAGAGGAGCAGTAGACGGACGTAGAGACATCCGGTGCGTGCCAGGGGCAGGAGGAGGACGCTGGCGCAAACTACGAGCACTAGCGTTAGCAGGACGGACAGGCGACGCAGGACGAGACGCAGACTCACAACGCTCAGTAAGACCGCCAGTAGGACCAGTGTAAGGAGAAGGAGCAGGTAGTGGGGAGGTCGGCTGCAACTGTAACTGTGACGGGACAGGCTGTGAACACGCTAAGGGAGGAGGACCAGGAGGAGGCGAGAGACCAAGAACCTGCTGAAGGAGCGGAACGAAGTACGGCTGAGGGCGCGCGGCGACTGCAGACACAGCAGGGACAACACCTGTACCCCCAGCAGCAGTACCAGAACGTTCAGCAGCTCCAACGCCTAGGTCCCCAGTACTAGCCTCAGCACCAACGCCCGAGTCCTCAGCACTAGCACTGGCTCCAACACCAGGGTCCACAGCACCTGCCGCAGCTCGAACGCCCGGGTCCTCAGCACCAGTAGCACCTCCAACTCCCGGGTCTGCAGCACCAGCAGCAGCTCCAACGCCAGGGTCCGCAGCACCAGCAGCAGCTCCAACGCCCGGGTCCGTAGCACCAGGGGCAGCCGGGTCCGTGAGACGAGGCGCTCCACTGCGAAGTGTGCAACGGCGCTCGTACCACTCACGGATCCGCTCACGAGAGGGGAGCTCCCGACTAGAAGGAGAAGTACCAGCACCAGTCCCTGTAGTACGCCTGGTTCCAGAGGTAACACTCCGGAGGCTGCAGTACTGTAAGTACCACTCACGCAACTGCTCCGAGGAGAGGTCTCGTCCAGGTGTAGCACCCTCAGGCCCAGCACCGCCAGAGTCAGAACCCCCAGACCCAGCACCCCCAGGCTCAGCACCCCCAGTCACCGCACCCCCAGGCTCGGCACCCCAAGAGTCCGCACCCCCAGGCTCAGCACCCCCAGAGTCAGCACCCCCAGGCTCAGCACCCCCAGAGTCCGCACCCCCAGGCTCAGCACCCCCAGAGTCAGCACCCCTAGGCTCAGCACCCCCAGAGTCAGCACCCCCAGGCTCAGCACCCCCAGTCTCCGCACCCCCATGCTCAGCACCCCCAGCAGGACGAGAGTCGACAGCAACCTCAACAGGCTCGACCGGGTCTACCTGAGACACACCTGAGGGAGCGGCACCCTGAGGGGGGAGGGGGTCTACGACAGCAGCACCTGGCGCGAGGAAGAGAGGCGGGGGTGGGAGCGGGGCAGTGCGGTAGGGGAAGAGGCGGTAGTAGGGGACAGACTCGTCAAAAGTGACGTCCTGAGAGGGCAAGACCCGGCGCGAGGTGGCGTGGTAAAACTGCCAACCAGGCGCGTCCGGAACAAAGCCGAGGAAGACGCAGGGAACAGCACGAGAGGAGAGCTTGTCCGCAGACGAATCGCGGACAAAGGCTCAAGATCCCCAGACCCGGAAACGCGACGCATCGCCAACCTCCCCCGTCCACAGCAGTGTGGGCGAGGTCTCCGGCAAGGAGACATGGGGCCAGAGGTTTAGGGGCAGTGTTGAGGCAGGGACTGAAGCTGCTCACAGTCACTGAGGTCCAGCTCTCTGAGTCGTGTCAAATGGTGGAAGTTGGGAGGAAGGAAGTGCAGTGCCGTCTTGCTGACATCCAATTTGTGCAGGTAAGTGAGGCTGGTGAAAAAACTGGGCAGGCTTGTCAGGGAGGAGCAATTACGCAGGCTAAGGTCGCCCAGTCTTGTTAAGGAAGAGATGCTGTCAGGAAGATGGGTCAGGCTCGGAGCTTCAATATGAAGAGATGTGAGTTGCACCAGCCGTGTTACACTTTCAGGAATCTCCGTCAGAGATTCTGCTCCTTCCACAAGCAGCTGTCGCAGCTGAGGCAGAGCAGAGCCGATGTCATCAGGCAGGTGATGCAATGCCTTGGCATTTGAGATGTGTAGATCACGGAGGCGTGAAAGGAGTCCGAGCAGGAATGGAAACTCAGTTTGTTCAACGCCCAGGCGCATCTCCAGGTGCTCTATCCGAGAGAGGCAACGGCTGGTCGCTGGTGCGTCCATGATGGTAACCTGAATCAATTTCAGCTTCTTGAGATTTGGAGTCGTTGACATGTCAGGAAGAATGATGCTGGTGTCCTTTCCCAAGCTCAATGTTTCCAAAGACCGCGGCAATGATTCTAAGGTCTCCTGCAAAAGAACACAACCTGTCAGATCCAGCTCCCGCAGGCATGAGAGGTTTCCCATGGCTCGAGGTGCAGACGCGAGCTTGATACACATGCGGGCCTTGAACGTCTTCAGGCGGCTCAATTGAGAGATGGATGCTGTCAGTGCTGTCAGCTCATTGCAGCAGCTCAAGGTCAACTCCCGCAGGTCACCAAGATGGCCTATACCCTCTGGAAGGTTAACAATGGGACACTTGCTGATAACAAGCCGTGTTAGAGAAGAGAGTCGACTGAGTGACGCAGGCAGCTGCTGCAGATCTGCACACCAGCTCAGCACCAAATCGCGGAGATTGGTCAGCTCGCCTATCTCCTCCGGAATTGCCGTCAACCTTGATCCCGCGATGCTCAACGATTCAAGAGCAGTCAAGCAGGAAATCGTTGCGCGGAGGGTGTCTTTGTCCACATGGTCCAAGGATAGCTTCTGAAGCCCTGTGAGTAACCCAATAGAATCGGGGAGTTTATTAAGCGACCAGCTTTTCAACTCTAAGGACTTCAGCCCTGGAAAATCTCCAAAATTCTCGGGCAGGCTGGATATACTGCAGTTGAAAATGGTTAGAACTTCCAAGGTGCTGAGGCTTGTGAAGGAATCTGGTACCATTATCTCTGTAAATAAACGGCTACCGGAAAGGCAGAGTTCGCAAAGTACCGGGAACCGCTCTCCAAGCTTCTCAGGCGGGATGCTCGGAATACTGCTTAGCAACAGACGTTGAAGACGGAAACACGGTGATTCTGGTGGAAACATTGAAGGGAAGTCAGTATACCCCCGCACGAATCCAAGCGAATGAAGATTTGTCAGTTAACCAAATGAGAAATCCCCCTCGAAACTGTGGAAGAATGTCGCTCCTGGAAAAAACAGGCTGGTCAGATTCGGAAGGCGAGTTAGCGGCGACATTTGATGTAACCGCATGTCCAGCTTTTGAACAGACAGCCTCGTGATTGAAGAAAGATCCGCGAGGATCCGCCAAAGGCGATATCTCTCCCAGTGATAACGTGTGCAGGCGCGTCAACTGGAAAAACGAAGACGGAAGATTTGTGGTCCAATGGAGGCACTAGAGTGACAGCTGCTCCAAGCGGCGACAATGGCGGAAGAGAATGTCCAGCCCAGCTGTCGTGACGGGGTGATCTGATTCGTCATAGTAGTCCATGTCATCCTCCTCGTCACGGTCAAGGTCGTCGTATGGAGCAATGCCTGTGCCGACATGAAGAGCGGTTAGATTTGGTGACGAGGAGCCAAGAAATGCTAGGAAATCGTGGTCTATCGTTTCCATGCTTCCGTTGCTCAAGTGCAGGCGAGTGAGGTTCGAGAAGGACACGAGAATGCGTTTGAGATACTCGCGAGACACCAGACGATCTCGTAAAACGTGAAGCGTTGTGACGGATTCGTGTAATGTGTCAGAATGTCATATTTGTTATCTAGCCTGTAGTGGGGTACTCCATAGCGAGTATAACCCCTTAGGGTTTCATATTTGTATCTCATTGCTTGCTAGTACAACCCCCTCTTTTGCCTAACTTCTTCTTGCCTAGCTAGGTAAGTCCTAGCTATGGCTACTATCGTTACCTACCTATTTTCACATAACGCATTACCTACTCTGCCTCATCTACCGCTAACTTCCTAAGTCAACATCGAGAGACTTCCTCGATGAGAAATGACATGAAGGCAATCGGGAAGATTGAGTTGGAGAAGAACATTGGTTTGGTTTTCCCAACCCTCAACCTTGAGGTTTGGAAACTTCCAACCCATCAAAGTGAAGATTGGAAAGGTTGGATTTCCAACCAATCAAGTTGTGCCAGTTGTTGTTACAATCCACACAAACTTAAAACAGCCATACAATTGTGCTAAATTGGGTTTTTCCCAACCAAACTAAATTGCCACTTAGGCTCCAAGCCTATTAGCTCCCCAACCATGGAAGCCATGGTTGGGAAAAGCCCCAAGGGGTATGATGGAAGGGGTTGGAGCTCTCAAGCTCATTCCCACTTCCCAACTCCAACAATCTAACTTGGAAATGGGATTTTTACTCTAAGTCTTTTGGGTTCTCCTAATAAGCTCCCCTACACAACTAGACATGTGATTTTTCAAGGACAAGCTCTACAAGAAGCTCCTACCTACTTATTAAAGCTTCATCAACCTTTTTTCAAGCTCCCTTTCTCCTCTCAAGCTTGAGGAGTACTATCAAAGCTAAATTACCCCTTCGTGGGATTAGTTGATCTTGAAAGCCTTGTATCTTGATTTTATAAATGTTGTCAAGGGTGATTTATATTTAACACACGGTTGCCCGTTGTTATAAGGGCCGTGAGTGTTACATTGGTATCTAGAGCTAGGGTTATCCTAAGCCTAGTGGGGATCTTGCCCTTAGAGATTCTTTTTTTTATAGATCTTGGAGTTGTGGTTTCTATTTAAGAGAACATTCAAGATCTGGAAGCTTGAAGAGTTCAAGATCTACAAGATCTACAACTGCAATTTCAAGCTAAGAAGAGAGATTTATCTCTCTTGCCCACCTTTTGGTGGAAGACTCTCTACTGTTGAGTAGTGGAGTATAAACTTGGATCTGGAGGATTTGTTGAGGGTTATACAAGTTCTCTTCATTGAGATTTGGATAGACCCCGCCCTTTCACTTAGGTGATTGGGAGTGCTTGACAACAAATCTGTTACCTTGGGTAACTTGGATTATTCTGTAGAAGAAATTTCTTTTATAAGAATTTCTTGCTTTACCATTGAGGTGGTAAAAAGACTTTAACAGAATCAACCCAGATCTTACAAGCTCCCTTAATCCTTATGGCATCTGGCCAAGAGAAGGATATGGCAAGGGAGGAAGGGTCCACTGCACCTAATGAGGTGGTGAACAATGCTGCTGAGATTGACCTCAATCAAGATGAGGCAATGGCTGACATTGAGTTGGATGATATTGAGGACTTGAACCTGGACCTTGGAGATGAGCATAACCATGGTGAAGCTGAGAACCATGATGAAGTTGAGCACCATGGTGAAGCTGAGAACCATGGTGGCACTAACAACCTTGGGGAAGAGGATAACACCGGTGGAAAGGAGGCCACTGGTGATGAAAATGACTTCACTGAGGGTGAAGGCACGACTTATCCTATCTCCGAGGAGATTGTCCAGCTCCAGGCTAAGGTGGCAACTCAGAATATCACCATCCTGCAGCAGCAGACGTCCATTGATGGACTCAAGAAGCACACTCAGAACCTCGAGGCTAGACTAAGCATTACCATGAAGGAGGTTACAGAGTTCCGTCGCAGCCTGGGCACTAAAAAACGCCAAATTGAGTGGCTTCTGAAGACTTGCAAGAATCTGCAAGCATCGTTCAACAAGTTCAATGAGCAGATGAAAAATCTTAGGAGGGAGGGTATTTAAGAACCTCCTCCTGGGCGTAGATCCGCTCCTGCTGCTCAGCCGACATCCGCTCCGCCCGCACCCCCGGCGGTAGGTGCTGCGACGGCTATGCATCAGCCACCTCCAACTGAGACCTCGCCCTTTGGGTCTCTCGCGGCGCCTCTGCCTAAATTTAACCATAACAAGACGGAGGTGCAGCCTTGGCTCGACCTGGAAGATTCCACCATGATCCTTGCAAATGTGCGCCCCGAGGCTCGCGTCACTGCAGCTACTCGTGCATTGGACGAGGTGGCCCGCAGGGCCGTGTATGGTGCTAAGAAGTAGGCACAGGGACCGTTTGAATGGCCGGAGTTCTGCACCGCGCTGAAAGAGGCATTCATGGTCAAAAGTCCGACCTGGAACTGCGCGGACGCCTTGAGCGTATCAAGTGTCATGACCGTTCGGTGCAGGAATATGCGGTCGAGTTTGAGGCTGCAGCACGCTTGCTCCAAAAGCCCTTGGCTGAGGAGGAGATGATGCACATCTTCATGAAGGGCCTCCCTGTCAACCTGCAGCAGGCACACATGACCGGCGGCATGACCAATTGGTCGACTTACAAGGAGATGAAGGAGCAGGTGATCAAAACCGACAACATCATTCGCACGTACATTTTTGGCCCCGAAAAGACAAGCCTGCAGCCCCGTGCTGAGGGCTCTGGTGGTCATGGGAACCGGCCCCAGAATGCGAAGGGTGGAAGCGGTTGGAACAAAAGGCCTTTCCAGCAGCGTGATCACCAGCCTGGCCCACAGGCCAAGAGGCCTAACGGAGGGGGAGGTCATGGACCTAACAAGCCGGACTTCTCCGACAAGCAGTGCAGAGGCTGTGGAAGGATGGGGCACGTCATAAAGCAATGCCGTGATAAGAATGCTATCAAGTATTCTGGGAAGCCTAAGCCAGGCGGAGCTGGACCTTCTGGAAAAAAGGATTTTCAGAAGCCCAACTAGGGTGTGGGTACCTAGTTGGAGGAGTAGATCGAGTGGATGAGGCATATGTGCTATGTGATGATGATATATTAAAGCTAGAGAAGCTTGTTGATTGCAAAATCTCTTGTTTGTTTGCCTCTTCTTTTAATAAAAACTCTGTTTTTTATCCTCGATCGTACCCACTTGAGAAAATTTCCATGGAAGCAATGCAAGATAAATTTTCAATTGTTTTCTGTGGTTTGGACATTCTGCGTTCTATCATTGAGATTGTGAGTCGTTGCACTCAAGAGCACCCCCTGACTTCGGTTGCGTTGGTGACTCGCACAGTGAAAGGCGAATTGTTCCATGTGCTTCGTGGATGGCCGGTCCTAGCGGCGTGGGACAAGGGACACCATGTGTGGTGGACCAAATCTCAGTCACATGGACGCGCTCGTCACAACGTCAAGGTGTACTTCAAACCTTCGACGAGTATTGTGGCATGTCCTATTCGCCCAAAGCATCAACAAAATCTGTTGCTTGCGGGTAGCGTGAACGGGGATAATGCAAAAATCCTTGTTGACACGGGTGCGACTGTTTCCCTCTTTGATGAAAAGTGGGTCACAACACGCACGATCCTAGTTGAAGGACCGTCTTGCCCCATTCGCCTTGGTGACGATAGCATCATCCCAAGCAAAGGGCAGACACGGATCAACATGGAGATCGAGGGTTATCACGAAGAGATCCGCGCGTATGTTTTACCCCTTCTCGCAGGTGTCGACCTTGTCCTTGGAATGGATTGGCTTCGAGCGAATGAAGTCAAGCTCGATTTCCAGGACAATACTGTCTCATTCTTAAAGAATGGTGACACAGTCCAATGGAAAGTGCCTAAGGACTTGATCACGAACGAACAGCAAACGTCGAAGCGTCCCGATGTGAGTTTTGCGCTCGCAAACGAGTTCGGACAGCATGTTTGACAAGCCGATACCTTCTTTGTGGTACAGCTTGAGAATGCTCAACACGAGAAGCCTGGGGTCGAGAATTTCCCGCCTCAGATGAAAGCACTGGCGGACGAGTTTGCAGAGGTTTTTGAGCCCATCCCAGATGGCCTTCCTCCGGACCGTGCTGTCGGTCACACCATCCCAGTGGAGCCTGGAAAACTCCCACCTTTTAGACCTCTATATCGCCTCAGTCCAGCTGAGTACGAGGAGGCTAAACAGCAAATTGAGGAGTATCTCAGGAAGGGATGGATTGAACCAAGCGCATCACCTTACGGAGCGCCGATCTTGTTCGTGAACAAAAAGGGCGGAGGGTTACGCATGTGCGTAGACTACCGTGCTTTGAACAAGATAACGGTGAAGAATAGGTATCCCCTACCGAGAATAGAGGACCTGTTCGACAAACTCCAGGGTGCCCAGTGGTTCAGCGCATTGGACCTCGCGCAGGGGTATCACCAATTGCGCATCACTGAAGAAATGTACCCAAGACGGCTTTCCGATCGCCGTTTGGTCATTTTCAGTGGCGATTGCTGAGCTTTGGCTTGACCAATGCTCCTGCATCTTTTCAGAGAGCTATGAATGAAGTCTTTCGCGAGGCGATTGGACAGTTCGTTTTAGTCTATCTGGATGACATCTTGGTTTACTCCAGGACGGAAGAGGAGCACACGCGACACCTTAAGTGGGTGTTAGGGAAACTTCGAGAGCATAAGTTTTACGCTCGTCTGTGGAAGTGTCATTTCTACAAACGCGAGTTGGAATATCTTGGCCATCTCGTGGGAAATGATGGTCTTAAAGTAGACCCAAAGAAAGTTGTCCCAGTCCAGAACTGGCCGGTACCACAAGATGTGGGTCAGTTCAGGTCGTTTTTGGGACTGGCGAACTATTTTCGTCGATTCTTGCAGAATTATTCTACCGTTGTTGCCCCATTGACGGCCCTCACTCGCAAAAGTAGTGCTTGGCAATGGACACAACAATGCCAAAAGGCATTCGACGAGGTCAAGCGATTGCTGACCAATGCTCCGGTTCTGGTTTTACCAGATCCGACAAAGCCCTATGAGGTTGTTACTGACGCTTCATTGATTGGGATTGGGGCGGTCCTCTTGCAAGAAGGGAGACCAGTGGCATTTGAGAGTCGAAAGCTCTCCCCGGCAGAGCAGCGCTATACGACGTCCGAACAAGAACTGTTGGCGGTCGTTCATGCGCTACGAACATGGCGATGTTATCTAGAGGGTGTGGACTTTGTGGTTACGACTGATCACTGTCCAAACACCTACTTCTCCACCCAAGCCACGCTTACTCGACGTCAAGCCCGATGGGCGGAACTCCTAAGGATGAGTTGACAGTATTTCACATTTCACACAACATTTATCGTTTCCCATCCTCCATGTCTGTGCGGTCAGGGCGTGGTGGCGAAGGATGTGTTCACGGTGTCGTACCATGGGGGGCCACTGGATGATGAGATGACTATGGTGAGTTGAAACGAGCACGGTGAGATGAAACGAGCATGATGACATGAATCGAGCTTGGTGAGGTGAAGCAAGAATGGTGAAATTAGAGGAGCACGGTGGGATGAAACGAGCATGCTGAGATGAAACGAGCACGGTGAGATGAAATCAAGCACAGAAAGATGAAGCTAGCGCAGTGAGATGTAACGAGCATGGTGAGTTAATAGGAACATGCTGAGATGAAACAACCACCATCGGGCCATTGTGCGCTCCAGCATCATCTTCGTTTATCAAAGCTGTGGGTATGACTTGGAGGTATACGTTGTTCCTTACACTCCACTCAGGCCACGAGACGTCAAATGAAGCACCCACCTGCTGCTTAGATGATGCACTCCCTACTCTTGTCTCTGCATGCTCCATCATGCATGTACCTCCTCCCCCTTCACACCTCCTCCTCTTTCTCCTTTCTCCTGCCTGACTCTTAGGGCTCTCAAGCGCAATCCCTCAGTTTCCGAGTCTCCTCCTTCAATCGTCTCTCTTTTCTCCTCTAATCGGTGTCCCCCTCCTTCCTTTCTCTGTCATCCTGGCTGACAGCCCATGTCATCCACCTTTCTTAATACTTCTGAGAGTTGTTATAACTAACTCTCTGTTATAACTAACCCATTTGCTCTCATTTTCCATTCGGTTCTCTTTCGTCCCTTCTCAATCTCTCGCTCCCTCCCTCCTCTCCCCACCCCCTCCCAGCTCACACTCAACGCCCTCAACTACACTCTCTCCCGGCCAGACATCGAAGCAGAGGAAAGCTACTAGTGTCCTAAGGTGCCTTTTAACGAGGCAGAGAACTAGTAGGGACCAGCAGCAGATCCCGGCACATAAAAGACATGGGCATGTTCTTGCTGGTCTCGTTACGGACTGAATGTTCACCAACTTGGCTTTCCGCACTGCTGTACAGTCTCTATGTGTATCCATTAGTCAATATACCATGCTGTGTTTCCTGTATGCCTTTCCTGCACAGCGCACGCATGTGGATGCCAAATATGATTATTCTCCGACGGTTGCTTTCAAGAGGCGCTAAGTAATATTATTCTCTTGACTGCACAGCTGCCATGGCTAACTGAAACTCAACAACCACACATGCTTACACTCCACATGGTATGCGTGATTTGCTCTTGCACACAAGTCGTGTTTCAACCTTCACAAAATTGCCACAAATCAGAAAAATGCACACACATTCCCTTCACAAGTAGACACAAAGAACCCGCAAATGATACCGGTATTAATGCATCCTACGGTCCACACCACACTGTCTGGCTGCTACAAGCTTGGACGAAGCAGCACTACACTGATAGCCCCCATGCATCAGTGCATGTGCTGCTGCATCCAAGCTCCGGCAATGACAGCAAGCATGGAACCCCTAGGCTCTTGCATCGATGCCATTGCAACCCCTGCCCCACTTGCAAATCTCTTGCGCTTCCCCATATGGTAAAGCCACCTAGTACCGGTACCAGTACCATAACTGAATTGAACTTCTTCTTTGGACCTTGAATACCCCATGCCTGTGCCCGTTCCATGAACCATGCATGCCTCGCACCAAGGAGAATACGAGCCTGATCCGCCCATACCGCCTCCCATGTTGCCTCCAGGCCCTCCCATCCCTCAGCCCATTCCTCCTCCCATCCCTCCGCCCATCCCTCCGCCCATCCCTCCGCCCATCCCTCCGCCCATCCCCCCTCCCCCCATCCCTCAGCCCATCCCTCCCCCCATCCCTCCGCCCATCCCTCCGCCCATCCCTCCCCCCATCCCTCCGCCCATCCCTCCCCCCATCCCTCCGCCCATCCCTCCGCCCATCCCTCCGCCCATCCCTCCGCCCATCCCTCCCCCCATCCCTCCGCCCATCCCTCCGCCCATCCCTCCGCCCATCCCAGGTCCACCCTGGCCGGGTGCTGCCTGCGACCCTGGAGCAAACCACCCTGACCCGCCCATGCCTCCGCCGCCCATGCCTCCCCCAGGACCCATGGCTGATTGCGATCCGGGAGCAGAGGAACCAGGTCCGCCCATGCCTCCTCCCATGCCGCTACCGCCCATTCCACCGCCGCCCATGCCGCCTCCGCCCATACCGCCGCCGCCCATTCCTCCGCCGCCCATTCCGCCGCCACCCATGGTGCCGCCGCCCATTCCGCCTCCGCCCATTCCGCCGCCGCCCATGCCGTCGCCGCCCATTCTGCCGCCACCCGTTCCGCCGCCACCCATGCCGCCGCGGCCGCCCATTCCGCCGCCACCCATGTTCCCCCCAGGACCCATGGCTGATTGCGATCCGGGAGCAGAGGAACCAGGTCCGGCCATTCCTCCGCCCATTCCGCCGCCGCCCATTCCGCCACCTCCCATTCCACCGCCACCCATGCCGCCTCCGCCCATTCCGCCACCGCCCATACCGCCGCCGCCCATTCCTCCGCCGCCCATTCCGCCTCCGCCAATTCCGCCGCCGCCCATTCCGCCGCCGCCCATTCCGCCGCCGCCCATGCCGCCGCCGCCCATTCTTCCGCCGCCCGTTCCGCCTCCGCTCATTCCTCCTCCGCTCGTTCCACCACTTTGTTGTTGCTGCTGGCCGGTCGAGCCTCCTTGCGCCCATCCGCGCATCATCCCGCGCAGCTTATCTGCGCGGAGCCCCGCGGAGAAGCGGAAGGCCATCGCCGCGTGGAGAGATGAGAGCAGGACGAGCGAGATGAGGAGAGGAGCCGTGCTCAGGTCACGGCGACGACGCTGGATCGACGAAAATGCCATTCTGCGCGATGCCTACGATGCAGCAAATATTCCAACGGAGAAGGAAACCCAGCTGTTCAGGAGAAATCTAGCTGCCCAGGAGCTTGGAAGTGAAGACCGGAAGCAGTTTCAGTAAGAGTCGGAAAGCTTTGTCCTAACTTTAGGCTGAAGTGAAGTGAATCAAAATGAGGAAGACTGAATAAATGAGTTGCTGAATGCCGCATGCATTCTTGTACCCTCGTCGCGTCGCCAACACAAGGCAATGTTTTTGCACGGCGCGATGACTCAAACTGTAAGGAATGGAGCAATGAACAATCAGAGGCCGCTGGTGAGTCAAACTCACGAATTTTCAGTCAACGTCTCGCAAAAACATGTTGACCACTGTAGCTTTCTTCACCCCGCTTCAAGAAATTGGAAGAAACTGGAATCCCGTTTTCAATCTGATCCGATATGAGGAGTATTCGTCTCTGTGAGTAGCGCAAGCATCGATTTCCGAATCTGGTTATCAATTTCACATTTGGACCAGTCATTTTAGTCCTTCCACAATCGAGAAAGAATCTCTAATCAGCTACCTCAGTCTCGTAGTGACTGCGACAATCTGCTGATGGTGAGCACACCCTAAGGGCGTTACTTACGGTGACGCGATCCGCGACTTGCCTTGCTCTACCAAGCTGACGTGGCAAAATGTCGAAGTCGCTCGGCGGCAGGGCAGGGGGGCTCAGAAACAAGGCGAGGACGCCGAGGACTTCCGACCGACCGAGAGAGCGAAATTCCATTTCGACGCCGCGCAGCGACTCCGCTGCCGCGTGCCCCGTCGCGTCATGCTTCAACAGTCGGGTTATTGTGCTGACATGAAACTTTCCATTCCTCCTCCACCCATGCCGCTGCTGCGCGCCCCGTCGCGTCATGCTTCAACAGTACGTGGCAGAGAAGGGAGAGGAAAGAGGGGGGATGATGGTTTAGAGCGCATGCGCAGTAAGCCTCAAATGATCTCCAATGTCTCTCGTCTTTGAAAATTCTCCAAAAAAGCTCTCTCGTCGCATCGAAGCGCACACCCCGAGGACATCCACGTGTGATAAGTCGAGTTTTGAGTCAAATGTGTGATTTACAAACAGATAAGTCACGCACGCCCCGAGGACATCCACCCTCCCATGTCGTGCCGCTGCCTTGCTCCTCGCTGCGACTCGCAGTCATGCGACTCGCATTGCGTGCAGTCTCGTTTCTTTGCTCGGCGATGGCGGCAGAGGGACAACAGCGAGATCCGCGCTCCGACACGCGTGCAGCTCCGCCATCCGCAGCTCCGCCACGCGCATATCTCCGCCACGCGAGCTTGTCAGCTTGCTGTTACCTGCGACCCGAGATTGCCACCATGCTTGCCGTGCATGTCGCAGCATATCCCCTACCCCCAGGCTCCCACCCCCCCTCCTCTTGCGTCCCCCTCCCCTGCACTGACCCTCCCTGCGCTCTCTCTCTCTCGCTCTTAGTGTCACCCCATACCTCCGCGTCTCATATCGTCCGCATCTCCCATTTCCGCAGCCGTCCCAGCCTCCCTAACTGGTCTGATCTGATCTGACACCCGAACCGCTCAAACCTCCGCCATGCCAAGCCCCCAACCATCCTACCCGACCTAACCATCTCCCACCTGCTAATCTATCGAAAGCACCTCCCACTCGCCGCTCCAGCCTCCGTAATCGGCCCAACCCCCGAGCCACAGCCATGCCACAGCTTGTCTGTTGAATCCTAGCCACCCTAACTGACCTAACCACTTCCCACATCCCCAGTCGCCCCAGCCAGCCTTCCCAAGTTCAGCTGCGCCATACTACTCATCCCTGGCAAGCGATGTGACACACAGATTTTGAACTACCAAGGCCATGGCGGCCTTGTCATTGTCATTCTCAAGAATCGCTGACAAGGACTACCGATCCCTGGCGGGCCATGTGTTGTTTAAGGGCGGATGTGCGTGCGTACGCGTTTCGGCAACAAAGCCTTCATCAGCGCAGTGATTGGCGGAATCGCTCACAAGGACTACCGATCCCTGGCGGGCCATGTGACACGCGGCAGTAAACCCTCGCGCGGGGAGCGGAGCTGCTGCTGCCGTTGAGGCATGGTCGTTGGCCTCACAGCAAAGCCGTCAGTCACCCGCTGCCAGTTATGTGCCTGGTTTTCGCCCCACTCTGGTAGTTAATACTGCAATCATTAAAGGGATTTTGGCGGCGCTTCATGAGTCATGTCGACCGTGACTGTGCATGCTCTGCTCTGTCAGTTCACTCACGTTAGGATCTGGGGAGAGGGTTTTTGAGTCGACTAAAAAATCGCTTCATGAGTCATGTCGACCGTTGCTGTGCATGCTCTGTCAGTTCGCTCACGTTAGGGCCTGGGGAGAGGGTCCGGCATGGCGCTGCTGCTGTCGACCGTGACTGTGCAGTCTCGGTCAGTTGGCTCAGTTAGGTTCTCATCAATCTCACTGTGCTGTGAGAATGATGAGGCGGAGTAGGCCTGGGCATGGCGCTGCTGCTGGCCATGCAGTGGCTGTGAGCTAGGCTACCACTCAAGAGTACCGCTCACCTCACATCACCAATCGTCCCCTTCTCTCACCCCTTCCAACACCTTTCCTTCCACCTTCGCTTGCCATGTTGCCTGTTGCAGCTTCCAGGTGCCATCGGTGCAGCAGCCTGCCCGCGAACCATCAACTGCCAGAGTTGACTTTTGAGTCGACTCAAAAGTCCATCGATGCAGCAGCCTGCCCACGAACCATCAACTGCCAGGCAACCGACTCTCTTGCGAGCATCAATTGCAAGTGAACAGACAGTTCTTTGGTGCATCCACTGCCATGCCCACACTCACTGAGGTACAGTCATGCACACACAGCTCATGGACTTGGTTCATGAGTGAATTTGCTTGTCACTCTTGTGCATGCATGCACGCAAGCTGTTCACTCTCATGCGCGCACTCACTCTCATGCGCGCACACTCACTCTCATGCGCGCACACTCACTCTCATGCGCGCACACTCACTCTCATGTGCGCACACTCACTCTCATGCGTGCACAT